CCCCACCTCTCCCCGTCTCTGTTGTCACAGACTGAGGGAGGGACCAGCAGGGAGTGGGCCTGAGTGCAGGGACAGAGGCCCAGGCAGGGCAGGGCTGGGCAGAGCTGTTGTGCAGGCAGAGAGAAGGTGGAGAGAGGCCAGACGGAGCGGGCCTGGCCATGTGGAGTGCCCTGTGCGTGGGCTTCTTGCCCATTGTAGGTAAGTGAAGGGAAGGGCTGATGCCCCAGGGGCTGAGCGTGGCCCTGGGCTCTGCACGGCTCTGGGCAGCTGTGCTGAGCGCTTGCAGCCGGCTCTGGTCCCCGGCTCGAGCTGCCCAGCCGTGCCTGTGGAGCACGGTGAGAGCAGCCCTGCTCCTCTTCTGGCCAGGAGCTCGGCACCTCCATCCAAGCTGCCTCCTCTGCAGCCTGGGCACACACAGGGCACCTCCCTGCTGCACTCAGCTCTTGGGGCCCAGCGCTTTGGCCTGGCACTGGACACTGCTCCTGGGGCACTGCGGCCCCTGTGGCACAGCCCAGCTGGGGGATGGCAGCACAGGGACCCAGCCCCATTGCCCGTGACAGGCCTTTGTCTTTCCTCTGCTCATCTAGAGCACTTGCAGGGGCAGCAGAGTGGGTTCCTCGCCATCCTGTCCTGGCAAGGACAAAGGGTTTTATTCCCCCATGGTGCAAATCCTTCCTGCTGCTTTGGGGAAAATCAGAAAAAAACTTCCTGTCTGACACCGAAAAGCAGGGAGGGAAATGTGGTGTCTCCTTCCTTGTGAGCCTTGATAGCTGCTGCCAGCTCTGCCCATCTGTGTCAGCTGGCTGCAAAGAGGAGCATTTTATCCTCCCAATTGTCCAGTGCCGTTCCAAACCCCACCAGCATTGCCCTGACCTTTGCTGAATCTTGGAGTGACTGTGGCTTGTTCTTGCTCTCTGCAGCTGTCACTGGCCAGATGGCCTTGGAGCAGCACCCCAGGGAACTGACTGTGCAAGAGGGAGATGCAGTCACATTCCAGTGCTCCATGAAGAGAGGTGATATGAACAGCTACTACATGTACTGGTACCATCAGGGCCCAAAAGGCTCTCTCAGATTTATTTGCCATGAGGATGATTTCTATGGAGAGGATTTCCAAGATCGCTTTAAGGTATCACTTCACAGTTCCAAGGACACATCGACACTGCAGATCCTGGCAGCAAAGCAAGGGGATGAAGCAATGTATTACTGTGGAGCCAGAATCACCCTGGAGCAGCTCTGTAGCAGAATAGATCAAAAACTGACAGATGGGGAAAACGGATCTCTCAGCATTCCTTTCTTGCAGCTGCTCCCCAGGGCTCTTGTCAGGAAACAGCAGGTGCAGGAAATAACCATCTTGGGCTTGGTGGCACTAAAAGTGGCATTGGAAGGGAAAAAAGCCTTCCAGTAGAGACTAAAAAGCCACTGGAGGGAGGGGTGGCAGAAGGGCTGGTACCATTTATGGTACAGGAGGATCTGTTCTGGGAACTGCAGAGGCTGTTTGTGCAAATGCAGGTTTTGAGCACGTTGGCTGGGCTCCTTTCCAGTCTGGTCTCATTTTTCCTCTGTGCTTTGCCTGGCTTCCCTTGTACCTTGT